CCGGAGGTGTGAGATGCCCGCGCGTCCGCCCGGTGCCGTGCGCACGCCGGTGCTGTTCATAACTTAATTGGTTTTCCCAGGATACAGAGAGAGAGAGAGAGAGAGGGGAGGGGGAGAACGATACGGTAAATGCAGGCGGAGGTCTCAGTTGCCGTTGGCGCAGAGTTCTTCGCAGTCTCATATACAGTTCAGTTCGTTTAGTGTCTGGTCCAGTGTCTGATGCAAGCCCAAGTTCTCTTCTTTTGCTTGAGCAAGTTTTTCTAGCAAGAAAGAAGAAAAAAACCAAGACTTAAACCACGCGTTACTTTACAGCCTTTTCTCTTTAAATAAAACCCACGATTGCTTACCTTCATGTTCAAGACAACGCTATAACTGCATCCATAAAACAGGGCCAACTTTTTTGGCAATCGCTCTCATATAGCGAGGTTTTTGGACACGTTTTGCATGTGACAAACTTGTATTTTGGTTTAACGTGTGATTTATAGGACGCGTCCTTCAGGGTTTTCCTTGCCCCAAGAACGTTTAACGGGGCAGTTGGAGCACCATGAGCGCACACCCAACGCACTCGGGGCTTTGCGCTGCCACGCGCTGCCCTCGGAACCCTAAAGTTCAGGTGTTCGCCAGCGCGCCGGGCCCTGCCCCCGGCGTGAGGAGCCGAACTTGGCGCCAGCGTCATTACTGGTGTATTTTAGGTGAATTATAATAAGGAAATAAACCCCAAAAGCTGAAAGGTAGAGGTATCTTGTTTTTATTGAGCTCAGTTCTTACAGAGGAGGCTGAAGGATCGCTTGTGGAAGTTGCATGGAAGTGACAGGTATTGCAGGCAAGAAAAGCTTAAGAAATGGAGCGAGTCAAGCGGCCCCGTGCCCCCCCGAAGGCGCAGATCACAACGAGGTCATGTCATTGAGAGCATGGTCAAGCTCCTCACTGATCGCTTTGTACTTCAGCTTCTGAGCGTAGAGCTCGTCTATCGGTCAGCAGGGCAGAAGGCGCGTTTCAGCAAGAAATGCAGAACAGCCCAGAGGAAGAGGCGCGCAGTAGGAGACATGAAAACAGGCAGAAGGCAGCAGCCAAAGCAGTTGAGGAAAACAAAAGAAGAAAACAGATGCGTAACTGAGTATCAGCATGAAAGCAAAAAATCCAGACAGCTGCCAGGTCAGAAGCGTCATCTACAGTTCCTTTTTTTTAATCTCTCCAAATTATCTTTCAGTAATCAGATTAAGTAGGCTTGCGATCTCGGTATTAACAGAAAGAGCCCCTGAGTCCATCTGTCTGTGAGTTGGCCAAAATCAGGCTATTGTTACCAACTTTTTGAAAGAGGACCTCTTCCAGGAAAACTCCCCCGGCCAGGAGGTGCCACACGGGACAGACACGCCTGTGGACACGTTGCGCCTATCTACCCGTATGCCTGAGGAGCACTTCTCCCCTTTCCCAATAAAATCTAATACCCACTCCTAGAATTTTGTTTTCTGCTTTGAAATCGACCGCTTTTAAATGAAACCCAAGCCATTTCATACCTTCCAGGTCATCAATAGACTTTTCCAGTTTGGCAACTGTTCTCTCTGCAAATTCAGCACGAGTTTCAGCCTAGGAAAAATGAAATAAGAGTAATGGGATGCTGTTAAAAACGATGCCAAAATACAGTTTGGGGATGGATAAACTTACTTCTTTAAGCTTGTCAGAGAGAATCTTGATTTCTTCTTCGTATTTATCTTCTTTTTCCGAGTACTGTGAAAACAATAAACACTCTTTAAAGGAAGTTGTGGGAACAATAATAAATGTTTATGAAACCGTGACCTATTTACAACCACTTTTCCTTTTACGCCAGCTGCAAACACCCTTTCCATGCTTTTCCCCTCTTCACCCAGACATTTCGGACCCGGGTTCATAAACCACCATTTTAAGACTGGGGATGTCCAAGTTCCTTCGTGCGTCACCTTACACCTCACCAGGCTTACTTTCTTGCACAAAACCAGCCGAATGTGCAAGAGAACACGAAGCCTCCCATGCTGCCAATCTAGACTAGCCAGAAACAACTGCTTAATGAAATTGAGGACAAAACCCACAAAAAGAGCAGGCAGCACCATACTGGTGTGGGAAACTGGGGGTTAGGTCCTGCTTTGGTAACTGTCAGATTACTGACTCGGGCTTGGGCAGAACGGATTCAGCGTTACCAACAGTCTCTGTTAGACAGGCAGGCAGCTAGACCATCTCCCTTTCTTTGTATTTCTGGATTATTTCTATGGATTTTATTTACACGTTTTGACTTTGCCCCTATCCCTTAGTTTACGGAAAGAACCAACCTTTTCAGATTGAGCTTCCAAAGACTTCAGGTTGTTAGTGACATTCTTTAACTCCTCTTCAAGGTCACTACATTTACTACAGGGGAAAAAAAAAGTATAAATGACTAGTGTCCCTGGTATGACTTAATTTAATTTTCAAGAAGTCTAAAAATAAAAGAGATGAAGTAATTATTAAGTCTGAAAGGAGAAAGTTGGGTATGTAGGGTACAAAAAAGCTTTACTACATATACTACATGCCTGCCTACCAGTAGTAGATTTTTCTAATGAAATATAGCTTTGAGCTTTACTTTATTCTAAACTGCTTCTGTGTATCTGAAGTTACTCACACTTCGGACACCTCCGCACGCTCTTCAGCTCTTTCCAGTTCACCCTCCAAAATAACCAGTTTACGGGCAACCTGTAACGAGAAAATAGCTGTATCAAGCCACTCTCCAATTTCCTATGTGTTTCTCTCAAAGCACTACGCTCGTGCTTTCCTTCTGAATGATGGAATTAGATGAAAACATACATGCATAGACGTGACAGACTTTTTCCCCCAAATAAATTAGATTTTGCAGGGTTCTTAGAATCAAATATCTAAGCTGCTGCTGAAGTCACTACAAATACTACTCCTCTTTGGGAACATTCCAAAGTCGAACCATGACACAGTGAAGAGGGTACAAAGAATGACCACACTGAAGAGTATCAAAGCTGTTCACAGCTCTCCCGTATGATTAATCATTTCCTTGTCCCTTTTACCTCTTCATACTTGCGGTCAGCTTCTTCAGCAATGTGCTTAGCCTCCTTCAGCTGCATTTCCTGAATTTCCATTTTCTCTTCATCTTTCATTGCTCTGTTCTCAATAACCTTCATTCCTCTGCAGAATTCAAAGCAAGTGTGTTTAATGCAGGAGCATTTTAGCACTTTTCTCTCAAAGGCCCTGAAGTGGAATTCAGTATTTGTAACCAAAAAGTGGCCCATTGTGACCATACTACCATGTTCTTCAAGGCTAACGGAATTACTCATGCAAGCTTATGAAAAAGTTCAGAGTCTCTGACCTGCAATGCACATTGGCACATGCAGATACTAAATTATACAGGAGTATTTTATTCATATATATTCAATTTTTTACAAGAAAAGGAAAGGGAAAAAAATAAAAGGAAATGTACCTCTCGCTCTCATCCGCTGCTTTCTCAGCCTCCTCCAGTTTCTGCAAGGCTGTGGCCAGCCGTTCTTGGGCACGATCCAACTCCTCTTCCACGAGCTGGATACGTCTGTTCAGAGCTGCCACCTCACCTTCAGCCTGTGTGAAATACAGCCACCCAAACCCAGGTTACGAACAAGCCGCTTGCTGGCTGACAAATCCGTTTCCACAAAGCTGCAAAGGCTTCCCCTTGGTATACGCAGGGAAACTCTAGGAACCTTTCTGTCTCCACTTTTTGTTTGTTTAAACTATGGCATCTCAGGAATTTCAAGATACGGAGTATGTGCTTCTCCTTTCTTTTTTAATGGTATTTATCATTCCTGCCATACAATGAAGGATTAGACACTGATTGCCAACAGAGAACTATTTTCAGATCACTTCACAGGGCAGGATCTACCCAAAGGATTCAAAAGTTAAAACCCCAACTGTTTCCACAATGGCTTGTTCCAAAAACCTCACAGTTGATTTTTATGTTCTTGGTTTCATCACAGATTGCAGCAATATCCTGCCATAGCACACTGCTGAAGTAAGGCCAATTCATTATCCATTACGGGCTCCTTTCCCTGCAAACGCTATGTAATTTTTACGCGGTCAGCTGGGCAGATACAGTTGGCCTCAGCATGGAAGAGTCGGTCTTCTTTGTAACATAAATAGGGCAAAATTAGATGTGTTCTTAAAGTAAGTTCAGTTTCCTTTTTGATTGCTTCCTGTGGTACTTCGGGAATTAGGCAGAAAGCATTTCTTAATAATAAAGTCTGTTTATATATTATTGAATAAACTGCACAATAACTGGAACACTATTCATGTTTAAAAACCAGACTAGGTAAAACGGAGAGGTTGTTGGGAGAAACACATACAGACAATATGAACAAATCAGTGTCCATAAATACGTTCTGTTTATTAAGATATGGCTCCTTTAATTGTTTGTTCTTGGAAGGAAAATAAACCTCTCCTTTAGCAACCGCCAGGTTTGCGCACTTAATTGTCCCCAAATCTAAGCATGATTGCTATGTGTAAGATTAACTTTTTTTTTTTTAAACACCACTTTTATGGGCTATAGATCCTGGAAGGGCTTATGCTTTATGTTAAACACTTTGAAAAAATATGTTTTCCTGCAGCTTCTCAGATTTGGTTACTGATTGCTCCTCCTAAGCTGGAGGAAGTGGTTTCCACTCATGGCTGTACCATCTTGGAAAGGGTTTCAGCGACTGGTCCAAATGGAAGCTGACCCAGGATTCCTCTAGTCATACATTATCCAGCATTTCATTTGTTTTCTGCCCAGTGCTGCGTGTTTAACTTTCTCGATTTACACACAAGGCATCGATCGTTTAGAAAACTGGCATCTGTTATGTGGCAGTCTGCAACTCCTTCCACTAGACAGGACACTCTGAAGTCACATTTTAATTAAGCAAGATTCCAAAGCTATGGAGACAGGGCCACTGGGAAGCTGGAGTTAGTCTGGCTCCACCTCTCCCAGAAGCAGCCCGCAGTCCTTATACGGTAAAACTAACTCGCTGACATGTGATAAAATAGCAGGAAGATGCCGGGAAGGCTGATCACACACAAACCTAAGTGAAACCAGCTGCCCAGCCCCGGGAGAGCCGCGCATTAGTGGCGAACTCTCATTTCTCTGTGAAAACCGGGAGGGAAAAGTTATTTTCCAGCAGTTCGGACATTTCCCAGCTGTGCTGGAGCCAGCGGTGCGGCGCCGAGAGGCGGGAACTCGCCGCTCGTTGTCATGCGGCGCTTTTTCCTAATTAAACTGCCATTTCCTACCAAACTCGTAAGCGCTTCCCGATGCCGACCGGTGCTCGCAGCGCC